ACCAGATAATGATATCACAGGAAAAGAAAACTGTATACCAATATTTCCTGTGAATATGGATGCAAAAATCCTTTTTTAAAAAAGTAAGAAATTGAATCCAGCAACATATAAAAAGAATTATACATCATGATTAAGTGGGATATATATCAGGAATAGAAGATTTGTTTAATATCTGAAAACCAATTAATGTAATAAGCCATATCAATAGAATAAAAAATAAAAACCACATGATAATCTCAATAGATGCAGAAAAGCATTTGATAAAATCAAGCACTCTTTTATGACAAAAAACTCAACAAACCAGAAATGTAAGAGAACTTTTTCAACCTGATAAAAGACGTCTATTAAAAAAAACAAAAATTCCATAGCTAACGTCACGCTTAATGGTGATAGATTGAATGCTTTCCCCTTAATATCAAGAACAAGACAGGATGTTTGCTCTCACCACTTTTTGTCTATCATTGCACTGGAGGTTCTAGCCAGGGCAAATAGGCAAGAAAGAAAAGTAAAAGGCATCCAGATTGGTAGAGATAAAACTATCTCTGTTTGCAAATGACATGATCTTATATATACAATGTCATCAGTCATGTACTAACAAACTATTAAACCTAATAAATGATTTCAGCATGGTTGCAGAATTCAACATCAGTATACAAAAAATCAATTGTATACCTACATGCCAGCAATGAACATTCCACAAATGAAATTTTTAAAAAAACAGTTCGCATTTGCAGTGTCATCAAAAATAATAAAATACTTAGGAATAAATTTAACAAAAGAAGTAAAAGGCTTGTACACTGAGAAATATAAAACATTGTTGAAATAAATTAAAGAAGATTTAAGTAAATGGAAATATATCCCATATTCATGGATCAGAATACTTAACATTGTTAGACAGCAGTGTTCCCCAAACTATCTACATATTCAACAAATCATTATCAAACTATCAGCTGCCTTTTTTGCAGAAATTGACAAGCTAATCCTAAAACTCATATGGAATTGTACAGGGCACCTAATAGCCAAAATAATCTTGAAAAAGAAAAACAAGGACGGAGGACTCATATTTCCCAACTTCAAAACCTTCTACAAATCTACAGTAATCAAGACAATGTGGTACTGGCATAGGACAGACATATAGGTCAATGGAATAGAATTGAGAGTCCAGAAACAAACCTTTGCATCTATAGTCAGTTGATTTTCAACAAGTGTGCCAAGACCATTTGATGGGGATAGAATAGTCATTTCAACAAATTGTGCTGAGACAACTGGATGTCCACACACAGAAGAAGGCAGTTGCACCCCTACCTGGCACTCTACACCAAAAAAACCTCAAAATGGATCATAGGCCTGAATATAAGAGCTAAAGTATAAAACTCTTAAGAAAAAGTCAGTAGTATGTTTTCATCAACTCGAATTAAACAGTAGTTTTTTACATGCCAAAAACAAAAGCGAAAAAATAAATAAATAAATAAATTGGACTACATCAAAATTTAATACTTTTGTGCTACAATGCCTTTAAGAAGGTAAAAAGACAACTGACAGAATGGGAGAAAATATTTGTAAGTCCTACATCTGATAAGGAACTTGCATCCAGAATACATAAAGAACTCCTACAATTCAATAAGAGACAAACACTCAACTCTAACATGGGCAAAGGGTTTGAAGAGACATTTCTCAGTACACAAATGGTCAATATTTGCATGAAATGATGCTGAACATTA